GGTTATTTTCAGTCTGCACTTGACGTTTCTAGGTTGCTAGCTTCTTCAGCTCCAAATCTGGGATATATAAGGCAAAAAGAAAACCCTGAGAATTTACCACCATGTCATTCCTTGGTCCCAAATTCCCTAGTTGGTCTGTCTTCTTTTCTCCACCTTTTAGCGTCTTCTTATGTTTGTTCTATACATAATGTCCAGGGTTTTTGTTGTATTTAGTGTGAAGAATAGGGAGAGTATGTCTACTTGATCTTCTCAGAAGTGAAAGTTCCTACTGTACAACTTAATGAATTTTACTATATTTACAGATAAGTGCATCACTACCACAGTCAGTTTCAGAACACTTTCATCACTTCGGAAAGAAACCCTGTACCCTTTAGCTGTCACCCCCATCTTCTCTCACCTTCCTAACCAGCCCTAAGCAACCATTAATCTACTTTCTGTAGATACATATATATATATGTTCCTATTGCGGATATTTCATATAAATGGACCAAACTACGTGGTCTTTGTGACTGGTTTCTTTCATTTAGCATGTTTTCAAGGTACATCCACATTGAGGCACATGTCAGTACTTCATTCCTCTTAATGGCCAAATAATATTCCATTATATAAATAACCCACATTTTGTTTATCCATTCATTCACTGATGGACATTTGGGCTGTTTCCATCTTTTGGACATTATGAGTAAGGCTGCTATAAACATTCATGTACAAGTTTTTGTGTGGACATACACTTTCAGTTTTCTTGGCTATATGCCTAAGAGTGGAATTTCTGGTCACATGGTAATTCAATGTTTCATTGTTTAATGAGCAGTGAGACTGCTTCTGACAGTGGTTACACCATTTCACATTCCCTAACTAGCAGGATATGAGGGTTCGGTTGCTTCGAATCCTAGCCTACAGTTGTAATTATCTCACTCTTTGATTCCAGCCATCCTAATGGGTATGAAGTGGTATCTCATTGTGGTTTTTTACATTTCTTGAGGTCACACTGGTTTGTAACATTATATAAACTTCAGGTGTACATCATATTTTGACTTTTGTACAGACTGCATCATGTTCACCACCGAAAGTCTAGTTGCCATTTATCACCATACACATGTGCCCATTTACCCCTTTTTCCCTTTCCCTGCCCCCTCCCCTCTGGTACCTGCCAATCTGTTCTCTGTATCTATGTGTTTGTTTGTTTATCTTCCACATATGAGTGAAGTCATAGTCTAATTGTCTTTCTCTGTCTGACTTATTTCACTTAGCATAATTCCTTCAAGGTTCATCCATGTTGTCACAAATGGCACAATTTCATCTTTTTTTTGGCTGAGTAGTATTCCACTGTGTGTGTGTGTGTGTGTGTGTGTGTGTGTGTGTATACACACACACACCCCCCACATGTTCTTCATCCAATCATCTGTTCATGGGCACTGCAGTTGCTTCCAAGTCATGGCTATTGTGAATAATGCTCCAACGAACATCTGAAGGGTGCATATATCTTTTTGAATCAGTGTTTTTGTGTTCTTTGAATAAATACCCAGAAGTGGAATAGCTGAATTATACAGTATTCTTATTTTCAATTTTTTGAGAAATCTCCATAGTGTTTCTATAGTGGCTGCACCAATTTACATTCCCACCAGCAGAGTGAGAGCTCCTGTTTCTCTACATCTTCCCCAACATTTATTTCTTGTCTCTTAAATAATAGCCATTCTGATGACTATGAGGTGATATCTCATTGTAGTTTCGACTTGTATTCCTTAATAATTGGTGATGCTGAACATCTCTTCACGTGCCTGTTGGCCATCTGTATATTTTCCTTGGAAAATGTCTGTTCATATCCTTTACCTATTTTTTGATTGGGTTGTTCATTTTTTTGTTTTTTGAAATGTATGAGTTCTTTATATATTTTGGAGATTAATCCATTATCGAACATGATTTGCAAATATCTTCTCCCAGTTGGTGGATGGTCTTTTTGTTTTGTTGATGGTTTTCTTTGCTGTGCAGAAACTTTTTAGTTTGATGTAGTCCCATTTATTTATTTTGTCTTTTGTTTCCCTTGTGTGAGGAGACAATGATATTCAAAAATATAATGCTAAGATCAATGTCAAGGAGCATACTGCCCATGTTTTCTTCTAGGAGTTTTATGGTTTCAGGTCTTAAATTCACATCTTTAATCTACTTTGAGTTAATTTTTGTGTATGGGGTAATACAGTGGTCCAGTTTCATTCTTTTGCATGTGGCTGTCCAGTTTTCCCAACACCATTTATTAAAGAGACTTTCTTTTCTCCATTGTATGTTCTTGGCTCCTTTGTTGAAAATTAGCTGTCCATAGGTGTGTGGGTTTATCTCTGGGCTCTCAATTCTGTTCCATGGATCTGTGTTGTCTATTTTTCTGCCAGTAACATGCTGTTTTGATTACTATAGCTTTGTGGTATATATTGAAATAGGGAGTGTGAAACCTCCAGGTTTGTTCTTTTTTCTTAGGATTGCTTTGGCTATTCGGGGTCTTTTGTTGTTTCATATAAATTTTAGAATTCTTTGTTCTATTTCTGTGAAAAATGTTGTTGGGATTCTGATTGAGATTGCATTGAATCTGTAGATTGCCTTAGGTAATATGGACATTTTAACTATGTTAATTCTTCCAATCCATAAGCATGGAATATCTTTCCATTTCTTTATATCTTCTCTGATTTCTTTCAATAATGTCTTATAGTTTTGACTGGACGGGTCTTTCACCTCCTTGGTTAAATTTATTCCTGTGTATTTTATTCTGTTTGTTGTGATTGTAAATGGGACTGTATTCCTGATTTCTTTTTTGGGCTAGTTCATCGTTCATGTATAGAAATGGGACTGATTTTTGCATACTGATTTTGTACCCGGCAACTTTACTGTATTCATTAATTATTTCTAACAGTTCTTTGGAGGATTCTTTAGGGTTTTCTATATACAGAATCTCATTGTGGTTTTTATTTCCATTCCCCTGATAGAAAATGATGTTGCGTATCTTTCCATGTGCTTATTGGTCATTTGTAATATCATCTTTGGAGAAATGTTTATTCAGGTCCTTTGGCCATTTTTTAATTGGGCTGTTTTCTAATTACTGATTCATATGAGTTCTTTGTATATCTTAGATCAAGTCCTTTATCACACATATGATTTGCAATTATTTTCTCCAATTCTATGGGTTGTCTTTTCACCTTGTTGATGGTATCCTTTGAACTACAAAAGTTGAAATTTTGATGAAGTTCAATTTATTTACCTTTTCCTTTGTTGCTCACGTTTTTAGTGTCATATCTAAGAATCCCTTTTATTTGTCAATCATACCTCAATAAAGCTGGGAGAAAAGAAAGAAGAATCTTTTGCCAAATCCAAGGTCATGAAGATTTACCTCTATACTGTCTTCTAAGAGTTTTACAGTTTTAGCTCTTACATTTAGGTCTTTGATCCATTTTGAGTTAATTTTTATTATATAGTGTGTATATAGTGTGAGGTAAGAGTCCAACTTCATTCTTTTGCATGTGCTTATCCAGTTGTTCTAGCACCATTTGTTGAAAAGACTATTCTTTCTCCATTGGATGGTCTTGGCATCCTGTCAAAAATCAGTTGACTTCAGATTTGTGGGTGTATTTCAGGAATCTCAATTCCATTCCATTCATTAATATGTCTATCCTTGGTGCAAGTACCGCACTGTTTGATTAGCATTGACTTGTACTAAGTTTTGAAATTTGGAAGTGTGAGTACTCCTAATTTGTTCATTTCAAAATGTCCTTGGCTTTTACTAATACTTTCTGTTTGGTTTGTTTTTTTAACAGAAAATCTACTTATAACGTTTCTTATATTTTCCAAAGCACTTTCACACACATAGTCTCAACTGAACTTCACATGATATCTGTTTGGTATAATAGTATACTAACTTCCACAAATATGCAGACAGCTCCAGAGAGCTCCAGTAACTCACTGAAGGTGAGACAGCAGGTTAGATCAGCCATAAAAACAAACTGAATGATAAAGGCTTACGTGTTTGACACTGTGCAAGGCATCGAGATTTAAAAGGAAAAGTCAGTGAGATGAAAGTGACCACCCTCTAGGAGATTACGGTCTTGTGAAGTGGTCTTTAACAACTTTGCTTGTGTACTCTCTACAAGAATTTTGTGAAACTATGTATTAAATTGACAAGTATAATGAAAATTTTAATCATAAGTTTAAACTCTTGTAAAAGATATAATTTCCAGTGTACCATAAGTCTTATATATATATATACTTTAAGTACATTTCATCAAAACCTTAAAGCTACAGATTTGGCTGACAGAATATATATAAAATGTCTGCTATTAATTTAATGACAAATCAATCAACTACATCAAAGTCACTTTCTATTAGAACATGTCTGAAACTTCATTTTTCAATTTAAATAAACATATTAATACAAATCTCTATGACAAGTATCTTACTTCTGAGTTATAATTCTAAGATAGACAGATATGGTACAGGAACCTTGACATGAGTTGGTTGCCAGGATGACATAAAGTGCAGCATCTTTCAAACTTTCTGATACAAAGTTGAAGAATAGAAAAGGAGAGGCACGAGACTGCAGAAGGGTTCTTCGGCATTAATTTTAGTAAAGTTGAGGATCTAGAAACTAATCTCCTTAAAACTAACCATGCTGACGTGCCTCCTAGAAAGCCTTGGTGTAGCCCTAGGGATATTCATATCTTAGTCTGAAGACCACTAGTCTAGTGATTACAGCTGTGAGGAAAATCCAGCGCTTCTAAACCTATGAGTTTAGTATTTTCTGACAACTTATTGTCTCAGAAAATAGTCAACAATTCTCCTTTCAAAGTCCCAACTGCTGTGTCTTTGTAGACGAGATGTAAGGCAAAAACAATAAGAAACCCATTGTTAAGTTGTTGAGTCTCCTAAAATAATGCTTCTAAAATAAACTTGGGGGAAAAAACCAGAAATCACTGCTTCCAAACCGAAATAAAATGGTATTTGGTATAATTTAAAAACAATACCTCCCAACCAAGACCAGCTACAAAATCCTCATACGCTTGACTTCCTCCTGTATTGGTAAGAATGGAATGTTTGTCTTCTTGTCCTTCAGCAACATAAAATACTGCAATCTTGTGTGTCTCTCGGCTGTAAAACAAGAGATTACACCATCCATTTGGTCATTAATTTATACATTCATTCATCCAATAATAAGTTCTATGTACAAAGTACGTGGCAATAAAAAGATGAAAATGAACTAAATCTAATGTAATTATAAATAAAAAATTATGAAAGTTACAAAATTGCCATTACAACACAAGAAAGGCATGATTACTTCTGCCTGGAGAAACTTAAAAGGAGAAGGTAATATTGAATTGAGTAAAGGTAAGGAAAATGTGACAAATGAAGAAGAGAAAGTATCAGAGAGACATGCAGGTGTGAATGCATGAAGCATGTGAAGAGCTGCCTGGTGTGCAATATGGCTGAATCTCAGAGTTAAAGGGATTGTGTTTTAGAAATAAAACTAAGTAGGAATATAGAGATGAATGAGAAATTATCCATTTCTTGAAAGTACTTATACACAATAAGAAATGTGTACACAAAATTATAAAACTGAATGGAGTAACTGATGAGTTCTTAGACACTTTATTTTTAAGTCTCCCTAAAATTAAAAATGTTCATAAAGGCAAATTTCTTATATGAAATCTGGCTTTCCAAGCTAACTAGGGCACACTATATTTGGTCTAGGTTGATTTAATAAAGCATGGGCTAACAAATTTTATGACTAGAAGTAATGTTTTCACCCTATTCTATGTAGCAATGTTTTCACTACCATACTATGTTTGAATTAAAAAACAAACAAACTACATCCAAAAACAACAACAACAAGTAAATAACGGAAGTTACTTTAAAAGATTAGTCAGACAACAATAATCTCTGGCACAACTTGAGGAAGTTGTCAAGTCATGGTTGTGGGTTTCAATATGAGCAACTTAAAATCAGGAATAAAGATGTTTTACCCGTGGGGCTGGCCCTGTGGCTGAGTGGTTAAGTTCACGTGCTCCACTTTGGTGGCCCAGGGTTTCACCAGTTCGGATCCTGGGTGCAGACCTAGCACTGCTCATCAAGCCATGCTGAGGCGGCATCCCACTTAGCAGAGCCAGAAGGACCTCAACTAGAATATACAACTATGTACTGTGGGGCTTTGGTGGACGGTGGGGGGGGGAGAAGAAAGGAGAAAGAAGACTGGGAAGAAGAAAGAAGAGTGGCAATGGATCTTAGCTCAGGTGCCAATCTTTAAAAAAAAAAAAAGATGTTTTAGTTGTTTTCACTAATGGCAATATTTCACCTTAGGTGGTGAACACTTATGCAAACTTTTGGTGTATTTGATGTGTCATTAGGATAATTTAGTGTAAGCAGTAAAATATACTTTGGTGGGAGAAGGGAATTCCAGAATTCAGAAGAAGTATCTTGGGAGACTCTCTCCCAAGCAAAATAGCAATTTAACTGTGAAAATGAATTAAAAAACCCAACGACATCTGAAGTCTCTGGATATTGTCCTAAGGGCATACAGCAAATGGACAAACACTCATTCAAAAAAACCTACCAAGTCTGGTAAGAAAGAGTGTTTGACATTTGAGACATGACTTGCTCCCATACCCCATCTCTTCACCTCCACGTTACAGAAGCTTTGGCCTGCGCATTCTACTCAGGCCCAGACGGGGGTTCCCTCTTCCCATCCAGTTCCCAATCTGGGAATGTGGTTTCACCCTGGGAGAGACAGGCTGCTGGCTGTGTATCTCATCCACACCAGTCCCATGTTGCAGAAGCTCTATTCCAGGCAGCTGTGGCTGAGAGAACCAGGTCTCCCTTACCTCATGCAGCTCCCTCTCTTACAGGAGAAGCTCTAGGTGCAGAAGGCTGAGTGTGTCTCAATCTTCCCCACCTGGCTTAATAGTAGGGTGGAGGTTTGAGAGGAGGAGCAAGCTAAGAAGATGAGAAACTGCCAATCTTTCCCCAAATGCCTACTTGCAGATTGAGGGTGTTGCTCCAGGAAAAGTTGGTCCCTGATCCCATCTCAAGTATAATGATAGAGAGGTTCTGCCCCGGGTGAAAGGCAGGTCATAATGATGAAGAACTCAGCAGTAGCTCTGCTAGAGGGGAAGGATGTTATTTTGGGACAAAGCTTGGAGAACTCCATGCCTAAGAGTGTTGTCAAAAACAAAGAAGATCTTGGTGGAAAGCAATTAAGAGAAGCTAGCAGTTCCATGACATAAGCAAAACAGCATAGCAGCCAGAAGTTTTAATAGAGAGAACCAGGAAGAGATAGCCAAGAAGAGTCCTCCTGGGTGCACGGTGAATCCTAGGGATCAAAAAGCCTGTGCACATGCACTACTCTGCATCCACACAGGAGCAATCAGAGTCAAGACGTAGGACAGACATGAAAGCACTCCCCAACCCACACAGACCTATCAACACAAGGTAAAGCTTCACTGGTGTTGAACAATACTCTACTTGAACTCAGGGTCAAATCCTAGGAAGCTAAGACTTAACAATATTCAGTCATCCTGGTAGTCTGGAAGACTGTGCATGCCTAAGGCTGTATGCTCTTTGGAACAATCAGAAAGCAACTCCAAGCTACTAATCTCTGGGTGAACAAGAGGAAAACAACATCAACACTCTGAATGTGACAGCAGCCTCCAAGTCACACACATATCCACAGTAAACAATAAAAATCTAATGGTGAAGTGGGCTAAAGCACAAACTTTCATCAATAAATACATAGACTATGTCAACCCAGGGGAGACCCCTTGGTAGCCAGGCTAAAAGATAAAAAACATTAAAAAACATTTCAGCAGGGAGATGAGAAGCTGCACACTGTGGGAAAGTAAGACTTTTCAGGCTTAATTCAGCTAAGTCACTAGAAAATAAACAAATGACCAAGCAAACAACAACAATCACCAAATACACTTTTGATTCAAAGACACAAAGTTGAAAATAAATGAAATGGGAAGAAATACCATGCAAACAGTCACCAAGAAAGCTGGAGTGACTATATACTATCAGACTTCAAAATAAAAAATGTTAGTGGAAATAAAGAGACATTTCATGTTAAAAAGTCAACCTAACAAGATATAAAAATTAAAAACATGTATGTGACCAACAACAGAACTTCAAAATACATGAAGCAAAACCAGACAGAAGTGAAGGCAGAAACAGACATTTCTAAACTCATAGCTGGTGACTTCAATACCACACTTTCAATAACGGACAGAACAACTGAGAGATCATCAACAAAGATAACAGCAGACTTGAATAACAGTATAAACCAACTAGACCTAACAGACATCTATAGAACACTCTACCCAACAGTAGCAGAAAACACATTCTTCTCAAGCACACGTGGAACATTGTTCAGGAGAAACCATAAGATAGGTCATAAAACAACCCTCAATAAATTTGAAAGAACTGGAATCACGCAAAGTATATTTTCTAACCACAACAGAATTAGAAATAAAAAAAAGTAGAAAATATGGGAAATGTACATTTATGCGCAAATGAAACAATGTGCTACTAAATAACTGATGGGTCAAAGAATAAATCTCAAGGGAAATTAGAAAATACTTAAGAGATGAAGGAAAATGAAAATATAACATACCAAAACTGATGGCATGCAGGTAAAGCAGTGCTCAATGGGAAATTTATGGATGTAAATGCCTATATTAAAAAAGAGGAAAAAATCTCACATCAATAACCAAAGCTTCCACCTTAAAAAACTATAAAAAGAAGAGCAACTGACCTCAAAGCAAGCAGAAAGAAGGAAATGATAAACACTAGAGTGGAAATAAATGAAATGGAGAGAATAGAAAAACAACAGAGACAAATCAGTGAACCCTAAAATTGGTTCTTTGAGATGATAAACAAAATTAACAACCTATAGCTAGACTGAGCAAGGAAAAAAAGAGAAGACTCAAATTACTAAAATCAGGAATGAAAAAAGAAGCATCACTATATACCTTACAGAAATAAAAAGGATTATAAGGGAATACTATGAACAATCGTATGCCAACGAGTTAGATAAATTCAATTAAATGGAAAAATTTCTAGAAAGACACAAATTACTAAAACCAACTCAAGAGGAAAAAGAATAACTGAATAGATCAATAACAAGCAAAGAGACTGAACTAGTAATGTGATTTTAAAGGAAAAAGTAAAACTACTACTTGCAGATAAGATGATTTTGTATATAGAAAATCCTAAGGAATCTACTAAAAAGCTATCAGAGCTAATAAATGAGTTCAGCAAGGGTTCAGGATACAGTATCAACAAACAAAAATCAATTGTATTTTGGGGCTGGCCCCATGGCATAGTGGTTAAGTTCAGCATGCTCTGCTTTGGTGGCCCAGGTTTGCCAGTTCAGATCCCAGGCGCAGACCTACAACATTTGTCAGCCATGCTGTGGTGGTGACCCACATCCAAAATAGAGGAAGACTGGTACAGGTGTTAGCTCAGGGCTAATCTTCCTCAAGAAAAAAAAAAAAAAGAGGAAGATTGGCAATGGTTGTTAGCTCAGGGTGAATCTTCCTCAGGAAAAAAAAATCAATTGGATTTCTATACACTATCAATGAAAATTAAGAAAACGTTTCCTTTTATAATAGCATCAAAAATGATAAAATACTTAGGTATATACATATATAACAAAGGTACAAAACTTATACTCTGAAAACTATAAAACACTGTCCAAAGCAATTAAAGATCTTAAAAATAAATCACACATTCATGGACTGAAATACTTAACATTGTTAAGATAATAATACCTGCCAAATTGATCTACAAAGTTAATGCAAACCCTATAAAAATCCCAGCTGTCTCTTTTACAGAAATTAACAAACTGATCCTAAAATTTACAGGAAAATGCAAAAGGTCCAGGATAGCCAAAACAATCTTGAAAAAGAAGAATAAAGTTGGAGGACTCATAATTTCCAATTTTAAAACTTGTTACAAAGCCATAGCAATCAATGTACTGCAGAACTGCCATAAAAATAGACATACAGATCTATATGAAACAGAATCTTGAGTCTAGAAATCAGCTCTTATATCTACCATCAATTGCTTTTTGACAATGGTATCAGGACAATTCAATGGGG